CAACACCACAGATTCTGACACTCCTCCTTAGCCAAATTTCTGTGCCTGATTGCTCTGCTTGTGGCCAGCTCGGCCGAGGTGCAGCCAGCCTCGGGCAGAGGCTGCCGCGCTCACAGCCCGGCCGTGTCGGCGATGTGCCCGTGGGTGACTCCATGGCTGACTGCAGCGTGTGGAAAGCAGCCCAGGGAGGCTCCCTGGAGCTTGTGGGGCAGGGCAGGGCATTCTCCTGGCAGGAATGTGGCCCTGCCAGCCAGCCCTGCCCCAGCACGGGGCTCGGCTCCCCCGGGATCGCCCCGGCCGTGGCCGCTGCTGCTCCTCTGCCCCGCAGGTTTGGCCTGCTCCCTGCCTGGATCCACAATGCCTGTTGTGGAATTGCTGTGGAATTGCTCTGGAATTGCTGTGGAGTCGGTGGGATTTTGCCCTCATGGGTGGTTTTTTTGCCTGCTGAAGTGGTTAAAAGAGCGATGAGCGGCCCCGTGCCGGATCCACGGCCTGCTGTGGATGTGCTGCTGCTTACAGCAGAATACCCTGTCACTGTCGAGGCAGGATGGGAATGAAGAGACTTGACTCAGAAGGCTGCTGAGAGTGAAACTCTGATTTATTCAAAACACACTGATCTTTTATACAGAGCTTCGTGAGGACCAACTGCACTGGTCCCAAAGTGAAAACAACCCACACCATTGGTGCAAAGTGCTTGACGCACAGTGACAGAACTTAACTGTAAACAATGTGAGCAACAAGAGAGATAAAGAATTATTATAATTATTTACATTCTTCTCCAGCTCTTTCCCAGGCATCTGCCTGGCTAGAAACTCTCAGTTTCTTTCTTTGACTGAATCTGAGTCCCACATTTCCCCCTTTCTGTTTAAAGAAGGAGGCCAGTGTTTGTCAGGACACCTTGCAGAGAAGAGGACAAACATGACTCCTTCTTTATCTCTCTTGTTGTTCACATTGTTTACAGTTAAGTTCTATCACTGTGCGTCAAGCACTTTGCACCAATGGGGTGGGTTGTTTTCACTTTGGGACCAGTGCAGTATTTTGAATAAATCAGAGTTTTACTCTCAGCAGCCTTCTGAGTCAAGTCTGTTCATTCCCATCCTGCCTCAACAGCGACAATACTCCTGGTGGTTCTGCTTTTCTCATGGGTTATCCACGGTGGCTTTGCTTTTCCCTGCCTCTTGGTCCCCAAGTAATCCTCAGATGGAATCACACACTCACCGCCCCCTTTATAGATCAGTATTTGGAAGAGTGAAATTAAATGTGTGCCCAGACAGGCTCAAACTCCAACCTCCACACTAAGATTGGTCTTCATTTTATTAAAAACTTTGTGGTTTTACTTTTATCTCCTTCTTTTCAAGGAAATAGACAGACGGTTGGAAAAGAAGCTGAAGATCACACAGAAGGAAAGGTAAAATCCTGATTTTCCTGAGGTGCTGTTGGACAGCCAAAGGCCTGGGGAGTGGGAACAGTGGGGAAACAGCTTCAAACCGAGCAGGGTTGGGAATCAGGGAATCAGGGAATCCCTGACTCAGTGCCACTAGGTGGCCTTTGGAACCTTGGGATGCAGCAGAAAGCTGAGAGTGCTCCGATTTCAGAGCCGGCTCCTCCGCACTGGAGGAAGCTCCAGCTTGGGGGAAGCTGTGTGAGAAAGAGGGGAAGAAATGGGTGAGTCAGGTAATCCCAGCTCCTGGCTCTGGACTGACTTGCTGTGTAATGCATTTCTTTCCCTGCTTCCTTTGGGCCTGGGCAGGGCTGTGTTATTTTCTCCTACCAGAAATGTTTTTAATCACTGCTGACAAGTCCTTTGTTGTTGGGGTTTTTAGAGAGTCATGGGATTTATCCTCTGGGAGTTCCATGCAGAAAAGGGACTGTAAAACACTCAGATGGTG